GGTAGCCCAGGCTGGCCTCGAACTCACAGAGATCCGCCTGGCTCTGCCTCCCGAGTGCTGGGATTAAAGGAGTGCGCCACCACCGCCCGGCGGTCATGGTGTTTTTTATCACAGCAATAGAAACCTAAATAAGAGAAGTTCAGACTGACTGTGTTCTAGATTCAAGGGGGATTTCTGGCAAGTATTTACTTGGTGATGCCCTCTGTCCATCAGAAGCACACAGCACACATCTTTTGACAATGCTACTCTAAGTAATAGTTGTTACATAACACAGCTATTTTTTTTCAAAGATTTATTTATTTATTATGTATACAGCATGTATGACTGCAGGCCAGAAGAGGGCACCAGATCTCATTACAGATGTATTATGTATACAGCATGTATGACTGCAGGCCAGAAGAGGGCACCAGATCTCATTACAGATGGTTGTGAGTCACCATGTGGTTGCTGGGAATTGAACTCAGGACCTCTGGAAGAGCAGTCAGTGCTCTTAACCTCTGAGCCATTCCTCCAGCCCCTAACACAGCTATTTTAATTTCTTAATTTCCCCCCAAGTGCTGAGGATCAAACCTAGGGCTTTACACACCACAGATAGTGTTCAGTTACTGAGCTGCAACCTAGCTATTTCCATAATTTTATTTTTGATTATTAGCTGGATCATTACAAGGAGGAGGCATCACCTACAAGTCTGTGGTTATCTTTAGGAGCAGTTCATGTAAAATGGGAGACAAATATCCAGTTCTCACCCATTATTTTAAAAATTCCTCAAGAGTCCTGTGATACTGTGTTATTCATTTTTATGCATCCAAGTTTTTTTTTGTTTGTTTGTTTGTTTTTTGTTTTTCGAGACAGGGTTTCTCTGTGTAGCTTTGCGCCTCTCCTGGAACTCACTTGGTAGCCCAGGCTGGCCTCGAACTCACAGAGATCCGCCTGCCTCTGCCTCCCGAGTGCTGGGATTAAAGGCGTGCGCCACCACCGCCCGGCAATGCATCCAAGTTTTGAACATGCTGGATCCGTTTTGATTAGCTGCTTCTGCTCTTCTTGATGATAGTCTGTGGCTCTTTTTTTGGCAGTAGACATTGTTATTATATGGCCTCACAGTGTCTGTCTTCCTGCCCATCTTCTGGTCTTCCACCCAAACACCAGGAACATAGGTCAGAAACTGCTTATCTACACTACTCAGCTCTCCAATGCTGTTTCTAGGTGTACTTTGAGAGACTGATTTCTCCCCTAGGGTCAAATTCTTCTTTGTTTCTCTGGCCACTGGTGCTAACCAGATGTGGATGTTACACCCTTTCCATGTGAGTTTTCACCATGTACAGCACTGTAAATACTTCTGTGCCATTAGGTCATGGTGTTTTATCGTAGCAATATCACCGACAAGACCAAGTTACCAAGCACTTCAGTCCCCTCCAAGCCTTCTGGCTTTATCAGGCTGGACAGGGCAGTCTTTTTAGATTATCCCACTGCTGGAAGCCTTCTGGATATCCCTAGACCACCTCAGGGCTTCCTGACTAATGGAAACACAGTGATGCCTGCCTGGTGGACTCCCAGATCCCTCTCCTCTCTCCTTTCCCCTGTTCTTCCCCAGGTCTAGCAGTTTCCATGAAGGACTAGCAATGCTAAGCTGAGGGCTTTGAAACACTGTGAAGATCTAGAGCCCTTATCTGGGCAGTTCTATTGGCTTCCCCCAAGGCTCACCCAACTATTCCTTCTTTCTCTGGGCCCCAGATCTGGTTGTCTGACATGTCTATAAATTGATATTTTACTTATTTTGTCCAGTGTCTTAGTTGCTTGAGTGGCAAGGTCACACAACCTTTGTATACTCACGCCTATTTTGTAGAGAACTGTGCCTCCATTTTCCATGCTTTCAGACACTGTGGGTGAAACAGCTCCCCTAGGGGCTTGAGGTACAGGTGCTCATTGTGCCCAGGAGCATCAAGAAGAGCCACAGAGCCGGGCGGTGGTGGCACATGCCTTTAATCCCAGCACTCAGAGCCAGGCAGATCTCTGTGAGTTCGAGGCCAGCCTGGCCTCTAAAGCGAGTTCCAGGAAAGGCGCAAAGCTACACAGAGAAACCCTGTCTCAAAAAACAAAACAAAACAAAACTAAACTAAACAAAGACAAAAAAAAAAAAAACAAAACAAAAAAACAAAAAAAAAAAAAAAAAAGGAAGAATGTAGCTAGAGTTTTCCTGCCTGGCCCACAAATCCAGTCAGGACAAATCTCTGTCACTCGCCAGTCCCACAGCCGCTCAGACCCAACCAAGTAAATACAGAGACTTATATTGCTTACAAACTGTATGGCCGTGCCAGGCTTCTTGCTAACTGTTCTTATATCTTAAATTAATCCATTTCTATAAATCTATACCTTGCCACGTGGCTCATGGCTTACTGGCATCTTCACATGCTTGTCATGGCGGCGGCTGGCAGTGTCTCCCTCCGCCTTCCTATTCTCTCAATTCTCCTCTCTGTTAGTCCCACCTATACTTCCTGCCTGGCCACTGGCCAATCAGTGTTTTATTTATTGACCAATCAGAGCAATTTGACATACAGACCATCCCACAGCAGAAGAGCCACAGAATTTGTGAGTGAGCACAAGAACAATGTCCCAACCTGGGAGAAGTTTTACTCTTTTCTCTGTGCAATTTTGCTGCCTAGCACACTCTGCTCAGGTGCTATGGGATCCTCTCAGAACAGCTAGGGGCAAGAGATCTCTCCAGGAGGAGAACATAGCAAAGTCAAATACTGCAGGGGTCACGGAGGTGGTAACAGACCTTGGATTTAGTTTCAAAATGTTCTGGAGCCCTGGGTCAAGCATTTGATGGAAAGTAAGGCAAAGCCTGACAGGGTTAAGAGAGCCATGGGTTTGGGGAACTGGCTCAGCAGTTAAGAGCACTAGCTGCTCTTCCAGAGGATCTGGATTTGATTTCCACATCTCAGCTAACTGTCCATACCTGCAGTATTAGGGAATCCAGTACTCTACTTTAGTTTCCAAGGGAACTGTACACATGTGGTACACAGACATGCATGCAGGAAAAATACCCATATACATAAAATTAAAAAATCTTTTAAAACGTTTTTAAAAAGAAGTATGGGGTCAGTTCATTCTGTCCTCCCAGCAGCCTCACTGGGAGTTTGTAGGTGATGAGAAGACCATCAAAGAGGAAACTCATCACAGAGGATGGGTTAAATACTTCAGAGAGGCTAGCTGGAGACAGAAGTAAGGAGGGAAGTATTCCTTCCCCTGTCATCAAACTAAGTACTATAATTTTAGGTTTCTTCATTTGCGTGGCTGAACCAGAACACATACATGCACCTGTGAACTTAGTATATTACTAAATAAGACTGTAACATGATTTCAGGTCTCCTCAAGCCCCAAGGATACCCTAACCCACTGGTTTCTGCTCTAGGTAAAGCCTCTGGAGTGTTTTGAGCAGGGAACATGTCCCAGCAAATGCTTTATAAAAAGCAACTATTTTGTGCTGAAAATGGATCAGGGAGCAAGGATGGATACAAGACTATTTGGAAGCTATTCACTAACCTAGGGATACAGGGTAAGGATCGGGGAAGGGACACTTGGCTGGATTCTGATGGGTCAGCTGATGGCTAGAGGAAGACTTCAGTGCTGGAAGGTGGGGGCCTAAAGTGAGCAACAACCTTCAGGAAAGACCAGAGGTTATGTAAAGCTAGCGTTCCCTGAGTCATCCCTGACTAGACACAGAAACAAGGTCTGGGCCCTGGACCTCTGAATATGGTGTTACCTAAGGCATGAAAAGCCCACTTGCAGACAGTTGGTTTCGGGGTCTGTCTGTCAAGTTAGATGACTTCCTGGGATCTGTGCCCTAATCCCAGAGCTGCTCAACAGTACCTCTTTGCTATTTCTAATACCAGCACCATATCCTCCCTTACTCTGGGACTATCGAATGTCTCCCTCTCTATGATTGCAAAGGGCAGTCATGTTTCTCTAGAGCATAGCTGCCTTGCTAGGGAGCCTTCCCTCCGAGGGACCATACACATGACCCTACCCCCCAATACCTGTAGGTCCCCCTCTAACTTTTAGGTAGTCCCTTTCGAGCTCACTGCACACATGCCCTTACTGGATTCCTTTCAAGGCACGACCCCCCCAATACCTGTAGGTCCCCCTCTAACTCCTTCCTTGTCCCACTGCCTGTCTAGCATACAGCTCGCTGCTACAACTACTTTGTTCCCCAAGAACAGCCTTGCAGCGGGGTGGAATAGCCTTTAATCCCAGCACTCAGAGGGCAGAGGCAGGTGGATCTTGATTCCTAGATAGGACAGGAATGTTAGAAGAAGGCACACACGGGAGGAAACCCGTTGTCCGGGTGCTCCGGCTTAGTTCCGGACCCAGATAGTCGCTTGTTAGAAGTGTTCTCAAGTCCTGCAGACGCAGTTTCTCCAGATGGCTGCCTCTGACCACGCCTTCTGACCCACCTCTCACCCTGTGGCCACGCCCCTAAACTCCACCCCGCTTGTCTTGTCGCGCCAACTTCCTGAGTCAAGCGGGGCCAGCACGCGCCTGCGCCCTCTGGCCCCGCCTGGACCCCACCCCTATAGGCTCCGCCTTCCAGAGGCCCCGCCCCTCCCACTTGCGAAGTGGGAGCTGAGCCGCACACTGCGCATGCTCCAGCCGCGGCGCCCCCGACTCCGCACTCGGCTGGATTCGGGCATTTCCGCCTCTTTGTTTTAAACTCCGCACGGCTTTTTTCTCCTCCTCTTGGGGGGGACCCAGAGGGAGCGGCGCCCCCTCCCCCTCCCGGCGAGCCCCCGCGTGCGCCCGCTCGCCCGCCGCCCGAGACGCAGGTCAGTGAGCCCGCCCCGCCCGGCCTGGCCCGCGCGCCCGCTCCTCAGGCCGCGGCCTCGGCCCATGGTCGGCAGAAGGCTGCGAGCCCAGCGCCCTCGGCAGGCCCGGGAGGCGGGACCCTAAAAGCTTGCCAGAAGGCCAGGACTTGGGAGGTCTGGACCTTGGGAGGGTAGAACTCTGGGCCATTCTGGATCCTGGAACAACCTGGACCCCGGGAGGACAGGAACCGGGACCAGACAGAACCCTGGGAAGACAAGAGCCTGCACCAGGCTGGACCCTGGACTAGGCTGGACCAGGGATAGGCAGAATCCTAGAGCAGGCAGAACACCGAGCCAGGCTGGATTCCAAGCAGACCGAACCACGAGAGAACAGAACCTAGGGAAGACAAGGATCCCAGACGGGCTGGACCAGGCACCAGGCAGGATTCCAGAGAACAGGACCCCGGAAGAACAGAAGTCTGGACCAGGCTGGTTCCAGGGAGATCAGAACCTCAGACCAGGCAGGACCCAGAGGAGGCCAGAAATACTGGGACTGGGCAGATCCTCATAGTGCTGGGACCTCAGGACAGGTAGAGACCCGACCCTTGGATTGGTCCCTGGGGGAGGGTCAGTACTAGAGCCCTGACAAGATTCTAGGAAAGGTCATTGAGGAAGACTGGATCTCAGGACCCGACAGAAAAAGCCAGAATCACTGAGATGGTCCAACTCTAGATAGATTACAGAGGAGGGCTAAGACCCTGAGACCACCCCATGCAGGGCCAGGACTCTGGGACAAGGCCATAGGAAGGTCAGGACCCAGGGACAAATCAGCTGTAGAGAGCTGGGAATCCAAGGCTGGCCCAGAGGAATCTGGACCACTATGGCAGTCCTTAGAGCAGTTTGGGGCTCCCGAGGGTAAACCTTGAGAAGGGTTCAGAATATAGATAGGCTTCAGGACCAATAGAACCAAAGGTGGGTCACGTTAGGGTGAAAACCTTGGGACTGAACCACAAGGAAGGTCCTCAGGGAGTACATGGATAATAGTTGGAACTTCAAGGCATGGAGGCTTGGGACTCCAGACATATAGACCCCCAAATCTGCTGAAAAGATCCCTAGGCATTGGGGATCCAGGGGTGGCTCAGATCTACCCAGCCCACACAGGGCCCTTTCTGTGAAGTGCTTACATGTGGGTTCCTGGTTATTTAAGCCCAAGGATTCAAACCCTGCACTTCGCACAAGTCCCCGAGCACCCTGATGTTATGGAGTGGGTGAGGCTCTTAGTATAGTTACAAGGCAAAGTTGGAGCTCTTCATCACTGCAAGGACTCAGGACTTGCTGCTCCATGTCCCGGCCTCCAAGCTGCCTCCCCTGCTCTCCCAACTCCTACAGGACTGTGCCTTTTCCTAGTCTTGGCCACAGGTCGGTGGCTGCACCTTTACCCCCTTCTCTTTCCCCAGAAGGTCCTGAGGGTGTGTACAGAGGCTAGTGGTGTATCCAAGGGGGGAGGCACCCCAGGAGTAGATAGGAAGGTGAAGTTAATGGGCAGAGGATTGAGGGGGCTGTTTCGTGGATGACCAACTAGCACCCACATTCCTGTTTCATCCCTAAAAAGGAAATTAGAGGACCTTGGGAAGAGGTTTTTGTTTCTCTGAAATCTTCCCAGTCAGTCTGTCATAGAGAACACACTGTTTGTGGAAAAGTGAAATGTGTTTTTGCTGCTGTGGGAGACATTAAGAGATAATAATAATATGCTGCTCTTGACTAGGGCAAATACTAAGATGTCCACTGAAAACCTGATATGTTTCAAGATGAAAAGGCCAGGGGATTCTGGAGTGGCCAGGTTCCCACACAGATCTGGGGTAGTCAACAATGGGTGTGTTCCCTTGCTCTGTTTGGTCAGGCTGCACTTAAAAGTGCTGGCTATAGGGTAATAAACTCTGGGCTATTTAGATTTCCAAGAGATGCTTGAACTGGTCAATTCCATGTTTCATTTTGAGCCACTTTACTTCTTGGTTCCTCAGGAAAAAAACAAATCTAGGTTCCTTAGCACTGGGTGTCAACTGAGTTGTGCTTCTGAATGGCCCAAAGTGGAAAGTTGTGTTTGCCAAGTGTCCCTACACTTGGGACCCTTGTACTCAGAGCTTGCTTCTGGTTTGTTCTTTGGTTATGCCCCTTACTGTAATTTGCTGTGTGAAATTTTAGAAAAGAATGAGAATTTGTTTAGGTTCAATGATGCTCTTCATCTTTCCATGCTTGGACTTTAAACATGAGCAGTGTTGAAGAGATATTATTTATATGTTGCTGTGCAACATATTACCCCAGAATGTAGTGCCCTGAGACAAAAATTGGTTCCAGTAGAAGGTAAAGAGCCTAGGCCTGACCTTGCAGATCTTCTGGCCAAGTTCCATAGGCCTGTAGTCAGGGTACTAGGTCTCCTTCGGGGGTTCCACAGGGATCCCAAACCAAGCTCCCTCCTACACTGCCAGCTGGAGACCCAGTTCTTTTCCTGGGGCATCTCAAAGGACAGTAGAGAAGGGACCACTGATAGAGCAAGGCAGCCTCTGGAAGGAGGCTACAGGCTTTACAGTGTACCCTTAGAAGTGGTATGCCATTACTTCTGAATTGTTTTTTTGGAATGAAGACACAAGATCCTGTGCACAGTTGGGAAGAGAAAAATCCCACAAAGTGGGTGTACCAGAAGGTGAATCAGGCTTTGCAGTATTGCTATCAGCCAGGAATTTATCAAGTTTTAAGTATCATATGTCCTATACCGAAGAAAATTTTATAAGTAAATTAAGAGTTGTGTGTAGCTCCAGATGTGGTGGCTCACACCTATAATCCCAGCACTTGGGAGCTGAGACAGAAGGATTGCCGTGAGTTTGAGTTTAAGCCAAACCTGAGTTACAGTAGTGAATTCCAGGCCAGTTTGGGCTACAGAGTAAGATCCTGTCTCAGAAACAAAAGTAGTTGTGTGTAGAGTGGTATGTTAGAATGAGGCTTCTAAATAACATATGTCTAATGTCACTATAAAAGTTCAGATGATTGTGATGCATATGTGTATCCTATTTAAGAGGCATCTGTTACAAATAGAAAATGTTCCTGGTAGTTAACTTACCATTTGGAACGCTCTGGCAAATAGACCCCTGTGAACAAAGTGGGATGTAGGGGCATAACCTTTGGGTGAGGGATTTCCAGTATTCTGAGAACCTTGCCATGTTATTCTGAAATACATTATAAACCAACCTTCTAGTTTTTCTTAAAAACATCTTAAATAAAAGTATCTTTCCTGGTACATTGGACCTCATACACTTGATTATAAGTGGCTTTTTAAAAATAGTGTGTAAGATGTGAGGTTGGAATATTTGTCCTTGTGGGAATCTATGCTCAGAGATGTCCTGCAGACAGGAGCCCCTTCTCCCCATCCCAGGTCTTGTGAGTAGGCCTGGAAGATGGCTCAGAGTACTTATCCAAAGTCGCTCTGGATGCTCTTGCCCCTGATGGCCACTTCCCTATCATTTCTAAACTTTGGGAGGTTCCACCTCAAGTTCACAAGGTCATTGACTAGAATTGTTAGGGTTTATTTGTGCTTTAAAACAAGGTTTGTCTGGGTCTGTGTTGTTATTCTTTAATGACCATATTTATTATTTGCTGCCTTGTTTGTTTGATGTTCAGAGTTGGATTTAAAGATGAAGATGTAATTTTTTTAATTTAGAAATACATTGGAGTTGAAGGTCAGTTTCCTGTTGTCTGTTGTTACCCTTACAATCTTACCGTTCATATTGGAAGAATGCTGCACGATGCATTATGCTTCAAAAACTGGAACTATTCCTTAGTTCTGTGAGTTGATTATCATTAAATTTAGCTGGACATGGTAATATATGCCTATAATCCATGCTACTACTAGTGAGACTGAAACAAGAAGATCTTTTTGAGTTCAGAAGTTGAAAACCAGTCTGGGCAACAGTGTAACCCTGTTTCAAAAAATAAACTAATTAGTCAATCACAAAGATGGATGAAGCCTTTAAAAACAAGAAAACACTCTTGTCTGCCACATACCTTCTTACAGAATTAAATTGTACAAAAGCCAGAAGGATAGGTAATAAGCTTACCCCACTTTTGTTGTAAACTACCCATTGAATTGAGCAAACTCCCACTAACAGGAGCAGCGCTTGCTGGAGACGCTGTCTCCCTCAGCCTGTTGTTGGCTGTATGTTGTATTAAACAGACTCGACAGTGTTTAGTTGGACCTCAAGAATGGAGGTTAATTGGATTTTTCTTTTTAAAAGTTCACTGATATTTGGTGGACTTTGCTATATTATCAGTAAATTCTATAGTAAGAAGCATATAGATGGTGAGATGTTTATAAACTTCCCTAAAGTTCCTGATCAACCCCATGTCTTATGTGGGTCTCATTGGGCCTCATGGGGTCTTATGCCTAGAAATCTCATGGGTCCTGTGTGTGTTTACTGGCTTTTATGGTACAATGGAACTTACGAGGACCTGTGAGCCCTATGTGGTTATGTGGTTATTGTAAGGCCTCATGGAGGCCTCTGGGTCACATGAGTTTGTAGTGACTTTCTGTCTCCTGGTTCCACAAACGTATTAGGTGTTCAGCAAACTGTAGCCTAAAGCAAATCATAATCAGTGGCTTTTATAGCTTTGTGCTGAGGATATGTGTCAGCTTGGTTGCTGAAGTCCTCAGGACATGCTCTACAAACCAGGAATGGGTATTAAGCCATACATACCACAACTGTCCTTACTTCAAGAACTTTTACTTTTTTTAAAAAAAAAATTATAATTTTTGTGTGAGTGTATGTTTCGAAGTGCAGAAACACTGAGCATGTATGGATGTCAGAAGATAACTTTATGGAGTCTTGTTTTCTCCTGCCATCTTTATGTGGGTTCCAGGAATTGAACTTAGGTCATCAGTCTTGATGGTAAGTGCCTTTACCCCCTGAGCCATCTCACCAGCCACTACCTTTTGCTTTTTTTATCTAATGTTTACCAGAGCAAACCACAACAACAAAACCTAGTGGAACAAAAATGCAAGAACTAGCTGGGCGGTGGTGGTGCACGCTTTTAATCCCAGCACTAGGGAGGCAGAGCCAGGCAGATCTATGTGAGTTCGAGGCCAGCCTGGTCTACAGAGTGAGATCCAGGACAGGCACCAAAACTACACAGAGAAACCCCTGTCTGGAAACGCCCCCCCCCCCCAAAAAAAATGTAAGAACTATATATAGTCAATGGGCATCTGCTGTGGCCTGGATGTTGTTTTCATTCCTCCCAGTTTTTTAGGTTGAAATTATAACTCAAAGATGACTGCATGAGAAATGAGCTTTGTGGGGAGGCAAAGACAGAATAAATGCCTTATCAAAAATTCTGAGAGCTCTTCCATCCTTTCTGCCTCAAAGGACTTGCATGGTGATTGGGTTTGAACAAGCCACCAAGTCTACTGTGACCCAGCTACCAGTGCTGAGGAGTAAACTTAGGTTGCTTATAAGCCTTCCATTGTAGGGTATTTTGTGACAGCAGTCTACAGTCCAGGACGGGACCCTCATGCCCATTTGCAAGACACAATTTTCTATTTGAT